AATGGTGTTCTCGGATTGAACAAAGACTCGCAGTGGAGTTTTGTGCGGTGCACTCGTGTGGCACATTTTCACATGTGAATTATTTAAAGTATTTGACGTCACCAAGAGAGTAAGACTCGTTGTACTTGTATCGAACGATACGACTGTGTCAGACCTCAAATCCTGTATATACAATTACTGAATAACATTTTTTTTTAAATAAGCATACATTAAACATGTGTTTTCGAACGACTTACAGGTATACAGTAAGTACACTGAGATTCAAACTATGAAACTTATAGGCTTGCGTAATTACTGATGGTAATTGCTATTCAGGTTTGAAAAGTGGTATAAGTCTTATTCAAATAATTGAAACTTCGACAAAATAAACTACTTGATTCAAGCAGCATTCCCGATGCGGCGGCTATAGACTCTGGTGTCCACCCAAAATCAAATGCAATGAGAGTGTCTAGTTGTCATCTATCTATAATAATATAGGTATGAAGCTATTCTGGGCTATCCTTATAGTTAGAACACAATATAAACCGTTGGGTGAAGTTTCTCAATGACAGCTACACGTGATTGCTGCTTATTATTCGTGTGTCCCACTTTTATTATTGTTTTTTGATTTTTTGTCCATTATTAAATCTACCTTTACGATTCAATATCGCGTTGTTTATTCTATTTTATTATTTCCGACGTTCCCAATACGTTCGAGTTTTCATTGTCACGGACGACTACGGCGTTATTCGTTTACATTGGAATATTGTGCTAGCCTCCGTCGAATATTTTATAAAAATATTATTTAAGATATAAACACAGAAAGAATAAACAGTATCTTATGGTTTGGCAGATTTTTACTTGGGACATCATCAAGATTCCAGATGTTAGATCAGAGCCCACAATACATTGTTAAACTTAGGGTGTTTCTTTTTATTTCGATGCCTTTGCATACTTATGATAATTAGTATTGTTTAACGAACGTTTAAATTTTGTTCAGTGTTATAAAGTAGTGGACACCACTCTTCAGGGCATTTTGATTGTTGACAAACTGCATGCACTACATGCTTATTTTTGACATCCGCACTATAGTGATAACTTTAACCACAACGTGTCTCTTAGTCTGCTTAGTATAGGCTACAATCACATTCCAGTGACGTCAGGTATTTACAGAGATATGTTCCAATATATTTTTGGGTAGGAGCCTAACCTTTCACAAGCTGTCCGCGCATAGGGGGCACGCGTGATCACATACTTGACGGTCTGCAGATGTTAGGAGCAGACCGCGGGCCCAAGGATATTTTTAGAGCCCTACTGCACCAAATAAATCCTATTGCACTCTCTCACTGACGTCCGTTCTCCGCTTGGGGTCAAAACCCAAGTGGTAAGGGTAAGGGGGTTACCGCGATCAACACCTTAACCAGACTTGCAGCGCTACCTCTAGGACGCCCGACCAACGGATCGTCGAGGCGATAGTCGATATTTTCCACTTAACAGATATAAGGTGGTGCTTCAGTTCCTTGGGTGGTGTATAAAACTTATTTATACAAGCCTATATTTGTTTGTTATTCCCGGGATGTACTCAGAAACACTAAAGCCCGTCCACTTTGGCTGGTTGTGGTTTATGCTTGAACGTGTTTCACATGCCAAATTTCATCGCGCAGGTGTTGGGTGTCATAAATTAATCAGCTCTCTGTAACGAAGACAAACCAACAGCACATAGTTGGCTCGGATACTTTAATAATGTCTACCACTCACGATATAAATAAAATACGTAAATCCATTTTAAAAATTTCATATATACCTATATAATATATATAACTACGTTTCGATTTTAGTCACGTAATTGAGACCGTCAGTGCAAAAGTGGCCTAACCCACAATTTTTCGTATTCGTGCTTATATATTGCAATTTATTTAAAACATAATAAATTTTGATGCAAAACCGGCATATCCCTAGTCTCACCCATAGAGAACAGATGGCTTAGTAAGCATTATTTTTGCGCGTATTGATTTTGCCTACGAAGCAGTGTAAAAGTAAATTCCAACCTCATTATCTCCATACTAACTATGATAAGGTTAGGCCACTTTTGCGCTGACTGCCTCAATTGTGAGTAATGCAATGATTAAGAGCTCAGAGTTACTATTGAAATTTCAAGTCACTGGCTCATCTAATCATTTGCATAAATTAGTGTGAAATATAGGAACAGAAACACAATAAATTATAGACCAGAAAATTAGTTGTTTAACTGCAATCTTTGTTTTTTGTTGAAGTCGAAAACGTCATTTTAGACTTATTCTTGAGTTCTTGAAGTGGGTACGATGCAAGATAATATTGACTCAGCTACTTATCACATTCATTACCATTGTCCGTGTGACAGTTTTGTGCCTACAAGGAGTTTCTGATCGTTAATCTAGATTATAGATAGTCGTTTTAAACACTTTAAGCACTTAGTTAATCTCATGAGCTTTCAGAACCAGTTAATTATTCCTTGAATTTAGGTTTCAAATTTAATTATTAACTTAACTAAATTTACAAGCATATTCCGAGCTTCCATAACATTTAAGTTTGTTTTACTAAATGTTCTTGATCAAGGAATCGATTAATGTATTTTTATTTATTAGCACTTACCTAAACATGACAGCTATGCTATAAAAATAGTAAGTATTATTGTAATAAAAGTATATTATTTATACAAAGACACTAATTGTTTTCGATCATTTCCAGTCGAACAGAACGAACGCAAGAGTCAAATGCAAAAAGAAAGCGGATAGTGTTTTTTTTTTTAATTATATTTTATACTTCTAGTGATTGCGTTCACTTATCCAACGCCAATTCTTTTCTTATATTTTTCAGTAGCCTTTCTTGTACCTATTTATTTAAGCATTTTTCACTTTAAATTTTGAGGCATTTCTAATGTTGTATCGTTACAAAAATTTCATAATGGGTATTTTGAAGTCGTCGTGGCCTAAAGGATAAGACGTCCGGTGCATTCGTGTTGAGCGATGCACCGGTGTTCGAATTCCAGGCGGGTATCAATTTTTCTAATGAAATACGTACTCAACAAATATGTATCCACGATTGACTTCCACGGTGAAGGAATAATATCGTGTAATAAGAATCAATCCCGCAAAATTATAATTTGCGTAATTACTGGTGGTAGGACCTCTTGTCAGTCCGCACGGGTAGGTAGCACCACCCCAGCCGTGAAGCAGTAATGCGTTTCGGTTTGAAGGGTGGGGCAGCCGTTGTAACTATACTTTAGACCTTAGTACTTGTATCTCAAGGTGGGTGGCGCATTTACGTTGTAGATGTCTATGGGCTCCTGTAACCACTTAACACCAGGTGAGCTGTGAGCTTGTCCACCCATCTAAGCGAAAAAAAATATGTAACTCACAGGTTTAAGCGGAGCTGGTGGCAGACTTTCGTAGTAAAAGCGAAGGTCATCGGAAAATCTTTGGCGAGATTGAAGCGAGATGGCTAGCAGTGTGGATGCCCTCAACTTATCTAGGGGACACAGGAACTTAAATATATAATATAGAGAAAAAGGTAATACAAATATGATGCCATTGAGCTAGTATAATGATAAACTTGGAATACAGGTCTGTAATTTTTGTATTGCCATTATAACCAGGCAATCAAGCGTCATAAATGGTGAGTGGTCATTATCCAGGTCAGTAGTGCCAGGGGCGTGGTCAAGCCACTTTCTACTGCTTAGGGCTGTCCTTAATAAACAATGAGCTATAAAACAATTGGATACATATATAGTTAAATAAACTCATCGAGCTTGCATTTAATGCTTTCTCTTTTTTCATTGAAGGTTTTTTTTAGTGAAAGTTACTTACTTACACTTTGTATTTTTATTTTAAACTAGCTGACCCAGCAGACTTCGTAGTGCCTCAATCGATAAATAAAAGACCTAAGCTTTTCTATAAAATAAACTTAAAACAAACAAAATGAATCCGTCCGACGGGGGACACATCAAAGGAAAAACAAAATTGTTATATTTATTTAATTCCAAGCATTTTCATATTTATTTAACTTTTAAACCTTTTCTGGATTTCCACAAATAATTCAAGACTAAAATTAACCAAATCGGTCCAGTCGTTCTCGAGTTTTAGCGAGACTAACGAACAGCAATTCATTTTTATATACTTAATTTAGATTCATATTTGTCCTTTTGGTCTTGTTAATCTACAACACAAAATAATTTAGTACATTTTGATTCATCACGTTTAAACTCTAACGATACCACCTTCCAATTAAGAAAATAGCCAAAATCTTTCAAGTTCTTAACGACTTTCGTAACAATTAAAATAAAATGGCCGTAAAAAAAAACAATAAAATTAAATAAAAGAGCTACTTTCATAATATTAAGTAAATGGGAAAAGTATTCTTCGAAATCCTTTAACTATAGCTTGAATAAAACACAAAAACATATTAAATGTCCATATAGACTTTTGTATTCTGTTCGTTGTTATAAGAGTTTCTTACACAATTAAAAGTAGGTCCATATTGAGTTACAATGAGACACCGATACATCAAATATTTCTCCAACAACAACAAAGTAGGTACGTAACTCATACGTCACGGTTCATTCCAACTTGAATAATCCATTATCTCCTTCATATAACTGCTCAATAAATGTTTCCCTCCATAGGGATAATGGTTAGATTTTCTACTGTTTATTGTGAACTCAATCTCTTGTTATGATTGATTGAGGATTATGTGGAACTCTTCCAAGACAAAATTGTTCTGTTATTTCCTGGCTGATATTATTATAAGATAAGGCCTTTGGGTTGGTTGTGTTCATATTAATTTCCCTTACTTATGTGTTGTGTGCAAACTTTTGTTATTAGGAATTAATTGTTAGAGTCCTCTCTCTGTATATCTTCCTCTATATACGAAAATGAGTCTTGGGGTGGTGATTTTTAATGTCGGTTTATTTATTTTATAACTATTATACTGTATCTTCATTCCACAGAAATAAAACTGCATTATATTAAATTTAACATCTTCGTTTAATATATTGAATTTTACAATTAATTACGTACTACAATGTAATATTTACAAGTGTGTTACATTTCAAATTATTGACACCTTAATATACAAATTGCAATATTGCATCAAACATCAAATAGAAATTCGTAAAACGTAAAGATAATATTTAGATAAACTTGAATGAGTACCTATTTTGTGTTTATAATAGAATACGCATTCTCTCACGGAAATTAAATGTATTCAAGTGGAATATTTTTATTCATCAGTCTTTAGCAAAGGGCTTAAAAGTTCCCCATTAATTAATTAACTTCCGTTCAAATATTAATTAGATGATCGTCGTAAACGTTTTATTTGCGAGTAGTGGAATTATTAAAAATAAACTCACATATTTTCAAAATAATATTTTAAAATATTCTACGAATTTTTCTATCACATGTTATTTACAATGCCATAATTATGTAAAATTCTTTTATATTCGTTACCTAACTTTGGCCAACTCCCCGCTATAGCTATAGCTAACATTTTAAGAATTTTTAACATTTCAATAGTTTCATAAACTTCTTTCCTTTAAAAGGTTTGTTTGTACAAATCATATTCATAAAGAATGAGTAATCTAATATAATATAAAATTATGGATATGTCACTGACAATATTTTGTACAAAAAATAAGATGACATAAAATCATTTATAAATTCTAGAAATTAATTTGGAACAAACTACCGGATGACGTAAAATATTAACATAGTACTTATTGTTGTTCGGTACATACTGCGTGACGTTGAATCTGGAACAAATAAAATATTCATAAAAAACATCTATTTTAAAACGCGAACTCGACATCGGACGACCAGTTTTGAATATTTGATTGGCAGTATTTGGCATCGACTGATTGAAAACCATTAATGTATTTATGCAATTTACAACGTGACATCAAACAATTTTTTGGTTGTACAGTTACCAGTGGTTTTTAAATTCATTGATTTTACCACGACACGTATAATATCGAATGCACTTACCGAGCGCACTATTTCGGACACCTAATACCGACGCAACTTCAGGCTGCTCCATATCGAAAATTAGTTCAGAGCGAGAGGCGTACAAGTTGTATATACTCGCGATACAGGTCAGTCGCAAGCTGCCGCGCTCGAACGCTTCGTTCTGGACCACAAACGACAGCTCACTGACAGTTGGTAATCTATAATCAGGACCGGTTCTCTCGTATGTTACTTTAGAGTTCTCTTTCGGAGGCCTCCGTATTTCTTCTTTGTGAAGATTTATATAAGACTCGTCTAAATACTGTAAGTTACTGTCGTCGTGAAAAAAATTGAAGTCCTGGTCGGGAGCGTCCGTTGTGGTCGTTTCAACTTTAGGCGGCGGATCCCATTTGAACCAAGCCGGCAACATGTGAACGGCTAGCTCTGTCTCGACCTAGAAAAATTGTTTCCATAAATCTAGCGTTTCACGCTGCGTGGTCGGAAATCTCTTAGACGCGGCCCGCATAAGATAAAGGAGCTTCGCTTAAAGCTTATCTAACGCGGCTGCTCTGTGATTAATGAACTCGTGTAGGCAGCGGGCCTGGGTACTGGCAAAAACAACTGCTGCGTCAAAGTGACTACGTACAATGCTATTGTTCTCTCACGAGCATCACGGACCTCTGTCGGAGTTCGGACGCCATTCTGTTGGATGTTGATCGAATGCACATTCTGTTACTGTGACATTAATCCATAAAGGCGATTTAATTTTGTATTTCCATATTACGCAAAATTAACTCTCCATATACCGAAAGGTGTCATTGAAAAACTCTTTTTCTTGGACTTTTTTTTTATTGCTTAGATGGGTTGACGAGCTCACAGCCCAACTGGTGTTAAGTGGTTACTGGAGCCCATAGACATCTACAACGTAAATGCGCCACCCACCTTGAGACATAAGTTCTAAGATCTCAGTATAGTTACAACGGCTGCCCCACCCTTCAAACCGAAACGCATTACTGCTTCACGGCAGAAATAGGCAGGGTGGTGGTACCTACCCGTGCGGACTCTCAAGAGGTCCTACCACCAGTAAAATACATTTCTTTTTTCAAAACTATATTTGATTACTTGTGTTTAATCAGTTTCAAATAAGTCAACGTAATTCTAGTTTAAATAATTCTGTCCGCAGTTGTATTTCAATTGGATAATCGGTAAAGATAAAAGTATCTATTGAAAAATAGATCGCCTGAAATTGTCTCTATTCGTTCAATTTAATACCAGCCACTTAACCCGCTGACCTGAATATGTGTATTTAGATAATGTTGTGAGTCGTGTTTGGAAACTACATTAATGTTTTCTTGTGATTTTGGCCCTATTTGTGACCTAGATAAACAAATTAATAGTATTTGTTGGTGTACCTATACATCGAACGACACAGGTATTTTATTAACCTAGATACGAACTCCAAATATACATGATTGAAGTCCCTATTATATTGGATTATCCTTAATTAAACGTACTAGAACTAGCAGAGTTATTCAATTATAATATATTAATATAAATGTATTAATTTTGTTATTACCACGATTATTGAAGAACACATTAAAATGGTGATAACGTTAAGATTTCTATGTTAAATAAATATTTTATTTAGAAAATAAGACGGTAGTTAGCTGAATGTTTAAACATCGACGAATAGCACTTTAGTCGTCCGCGACCACGAAATCTGTAAAGTATTTGAAACGAAATAATAAAATAATAATAATAAGCGCGAGATTAAATCGTAAAATTTATTAAAAATACTTAACAACATCCTACTTATCTTTGAACGGTAGCATTTATGTTTTCCTTATTGAATGAACTTTAGGAACGAAATACTATTGCCGCTATATCGCATCGCATATCGCAAATTAGGCAGCAAAATTTAGATTGTACTTTCTATAGGTTTCGGTACACCGGGCCTCATGTGAGCTCTCATCTGTCTTTATTCTTTAAAAAAAACTTTTTTTTAAAATAAATATAAAAATAATGAACCTCCAGTCCGTTGAGTGCAAACGTCAAGTTAGCTGGTGGATACGATGGAGGGGTAGCGCACGTAGCGTGTAATGTAGAACCGACCCCATACCACGATCTATCTGAAACCAGTTTCGGACCCCACTCCGGAGGCTCTGAAACAAAAAAATATATTATATTTATTACGGATTACAGGTCGTACGCTTGATGCATCCGCGTCTAAGCTTGGGCATAAACCTGAAATTGCGATACTTTAAGACAAATCTTTTTTTGTATGGTAACAAGCGACATCTTGTAGCAAATGCCCTTAAACTTATATGCTGTTAAAATTAAGGCAATTAATAATTGTATAACAAAACACAGAAAATAAAAAAATAAAAAAATCATACAAGTCTTTATTTGTTGTAGGAAATTTACAAAATCCTTTATTGAAAACAAAATATAGGATAGATAATATGTTACTGCTACCTACAGGAGCAACGAGAAACTAATCGAAGCGAAGCCATCTAGTGGCCGACGCCCGTAAATATTTGTTGATTTCTTGAGTTGCCTATCTATAACTAATTTATGTGTATTATCTATGGTCTAAGTAATGAGTAAGACGACTGGTGCATTCAGTCATGCGATCATACGGTAGTTCGATGAAAAGGTGAGTTCCAGTTTACAATTAAATAATATGTATTTTTTAAACAGACTTATATTTACTGTTTTTTTTTATTCCTTAGGTGTGTAACCTAACATAAGCCTAAGGTTATCGGAGCGCATAGATATCAACGAAGGTGCCACACTTTGAAAGTTCAAACATGAGTTGTAAGTCTCAATTATTATATCGTACAACGGCTGACCCACCCTGCAAGCCTGATCATCGTTCTCGTCGAACCGGAATTGCGCGAAGGGCTCGACGAGTAAATTAATACAGAGACACCGTCCACTGAGTTTCTCGCCAGATCTTCTCAGTGGGTCGCGTTTCCAATCCGGTGGTAGATTCTGCGAAGCACGGCTCTTCCTAGGGTTCGTGTTAGCAACGTCGTCAGGTTTGAGCCCCGTGAGCTCACCTACTAGTTAAGGTTACGCTGAAATAGCCTCTCAAGGCTATCATCAGCTTAGGTAGGAAAAAAAACCTGCAAACTGAAATGCATTGCTACTTCAGGACAGATATAGACAGGGTAGCAGTACGTACCCGTGATTGCTGACAACAAGTCCTACCAAATTTTTTTTTTTTTCGCGGATTTAATTTTATTACCCAATGTTACTACTTCATCGTGGAAGTCATTCGCGAACATGTGTTAAGTACGTATTTCATTTAAAAAATTGGTAACTGCCTGCGGGATTCGAACATTGGCACAGTCGCACCGGGCGTCTTCTGCTTTAGGCCATGACGACTCCTTTTATTATTATTTAGGTAGTTACCGCCGATTTAATTATTTGACTTTTTTTTAATACAATTTAGACTTTGGCCTCATGTCTCAAGGCAGTTAGCATTCAGGTTGTAAAATCAAACGGCTTCTGTTACCACTCAATACCAGGTCGAGCGTGAGATCATTCCCTAAGCATATTTAAAAATGGTCATCATTAAAATGGTCAGCAAACTCATGTGCGTTATAAGCCGTTACAAAATAAATTTAATTAATATTTTATTTTTAATCGTTGCTATTATTAGCAATACAACTACATACTACACGTTTTAAATAACAAAATAATTATTATCGCAAAAAGATAAAAAACAAGTTCTGTTTTTAAGACCATCTGAAATTGCAGGGTAAAAAATGTATTTCACGTACATTATCTATAAAACGAAAATGACATTGCCGCTTCCGGACGTAGTCTAACATAAAATCTTTTGAGAAGATTATTAATGTAAATCATTTTGGTCTTTCGGAACGCTTTAAGCAGATTTCTTATTTGTATCAAATTCTTTTAAAAGCGACGGCCGAAATCAGTGTTTTTATATAAAATAATATTCTAGTACTAATTGGATTACATAAAATGAAATTTCATACGATGTTACCTTTTCTGAAATCAGGTTATTTTCTTCAATTTAAAAACCGCCTAAAGTTTTCTGTGTAAAAAAGTTTTCTTTTTCTATTAAAAATAAATAAATTTTTAATTGGATAAATTTCATTGACACTTCCATATTTCTCATTTCATTTAAAATCACTACAGTATAACCAATATTCTAATCGTCTTTTACGTTCTTTGGCTGTGTGATATCGGCAAAGAATAGTACAACCCTATCTTTTCCCGATATTATCTCTTCCCTATATTTCGATGTCTATAGGCTCCGATGACAGCTGTGTATTAGGTGGGCGGTGAGCCTGTTCACCTACCTATGTAATAAAAAACGCCTCGATCATAGAGTAATACAAGGAGCTAAAATATAAAACACGAAGAAAATCAGAAACTTGACATAGTCACGTATACATATCTTTATCAATACGTGAGTCCTTGCCTTTTGGGAACGTGCCTCTCAAACAAACGTTACATAGTTACATAGACTATTTTGAAAAAAAAGTTGAATACTTAAATGTACGCAGCGAATGATTGCACATTGCTATCTCCTTGGCCTAGTTAAAAGAAGGTTTTGCCTTTGAAAAGACGACATGTTTGACTCCGCATGCGATATATTTCATAGTCGCTTAACTTTTTATTACTCTTCAGAGGCAAACGAATCCACAATATGGGTCAGTGTTTTTAATTAAATTAGCTATTATTTGATAGCGTTAATGAACTTCACTATGCATAGTAAATGGATCTTGACTCTACAACGCTTTTTATTACACAAAAGGCGAGTATATTCTTCGCCATAAACTATACTACGTGGTACATTCTTTTCGTTGGTGGCATTGCGGCTTGTCGCGCGTCCTAGAAAATCACAGGCGTAATCGAAACTGGATAAGAAAATGTTTTCTTATTTTCTTCAGACATTTATGCAGACTTTAAAGCTTAGATAAACTCCTTTCGACGCTCGATAATATGTATAGTAGTAACACGGCCGAATTACTAACCTGAGTTACTCTTTAAATGTTCTTGGGCGCAAACGACTTACCATTATTTATTCTTAAACCAAATGAGGTTTTCATTTCAAAGCCCAAGATTGATAAGCCGTTTTATTTTTGTAATTTAGAGCTAATCATGAACGAAATACGCTTGTTTACTTACAATCGTTTGTAAATCTAAGACGAGTAAGTAATTGGATAATTCTCCACCAAGAAATTCATTATTATGGATCTTATTAAATTCTGGAATGGTAGAGTGAAATTATATGTATATTATCACAATATAATAATATGGACACGTTCAATAGACTCTGGTCAGATTTTGTAAATATGAAAAAATCAACTACTGTACCAGCTAATTATTGACTAATACAATTTTTTTCTGTTTACGACCGACGTATGCCTGGACTTTAACGACAGTTATATTATACTGCACATTATTTTTAGGATTGTGTTATTTTGTGGTTTGAGTATACAAAAAAGTATATGCTATAGGAACTTTCACATGTAAAGAACATAGTTTTTTTAAAACTCTTACGGCCTGGCCACGGGGATCGGTGGTGCGAACAGCGAAGCGGTGGACGAGGCGACCATTCGCGCAGCACCGTTTGCAGGCCACGGGTACTCACGTTCGCCGCCGCGACTAGTAAGGAAGTCCGACAGCGAAATGTCTATATCGAAATTATCTCGATATTGCTTACAAATTAATAGTTTTTTGGTTCAGGACCTATTATTTGGAAAATATTGTGAAGTACATGATTTGAATAAGAATCGGAGTATACCTATAGATGGAGAATTCCACAAGAAGTACGAGAAATACTTTGGGTGGCTAGACTTCCAAATAGCTGGTCTAGCTAGTATTTCAGCTATATATTTTTTTTATTGCTTAGATGGGTGGATGAGCTCACAGTCCACCTTGTGTTAAGTGGTTACTGAAGCCCATAGACATCCACAACGTAAATGCGCCACCCACCTTGAGATATAAGTTCTAAGGTCTCAAGTATAGTTACAATGGCTGCCCCACCCTTCAAACCGAAACGCATTACTACTTCACGGCAGAAACAGGCAGGGTGGTGGTACCCACCCGCGCGGACTCACAAGAGGTCCTACCCCCAGTAATTACGCAAATTATAATTTTGAGGGTTTCATTTTTATTACACGATGTTATTCCTTCACCGTGGAAATCAATCGTGAACATTAAAATTTGTTGAGTACGTATTTCATTACAAAAATTGGTACCCGCCTGATATTCGACTACCGGTGCATCGCTCAACACCGGACGTCTTATCCGTTCGGCCACGACGAGTTTAAAAATATAAAAAAAAAATTAGTAAAAAATATAAAATATAAAAATTTCGGCGTTCATTTTTCGCGGCGAAAACAACTAAACTCATTTAATCACTGCACTATTCGCCGCGACTACCGCTCGACTCCGTGGCTTGCGCCGTCCTTATTCATGCATTTGTTTTGCTCGCCCGCCGCATCGTAAGTCGCCCGCGCGATTCGCTCGGTACATTCCGCCGGTCGCTTCGCCGGTCGCCGATGCGCGTGGCTTGTTAGGTACATTTCTATGCTCTTATTTTAGTCGCTAGACGCTTCGCCGTTCGCACCGCGCGAATATTCGTATCGGCGAATGTCCCGTGGCCAGGCTGTTAGATTCGATAGAACGGCCATCTGGTGTAGTGGTAAATGACATGGTCACTACACAAGGGGGTCGCGGGTCCGAATCCCGCCAAGGGAGGAAATTTGGAAGTTCCAGAGTTATGGATGTATATTAAATATATGTATGTGTATAATAAAAATCTTACATTTATTTCCGTTATCTGGTATTTGTAACCAGAGTTCTTTACGAACTTAGTACGGGACCAGTGACTACTTAACACCAGTTGGGCTGTGAGTTCGTCCAACCATGTAAGCTATAAAAAAATAAAAATAAAAAAAAACATGGTTTGGTAAAATTTTTATTAAGCACACTTTAACGCGAAACGATCTGATGAAGTAAAATTGTGGCCTATTCGCAACGTAGTAAGACAATAACATTGTTGACAAACATTGTTGAACATGAACACAACAAAAACATTCTTGAAAAAAAAAAACTTAAATAAAAAATAAAAAACAAAAAAATAAAAAACTGCTGAAAATACTTCAAATCACTTATT